CCCCAGTTGGACTGGACATTTCTCTGGTCGCCAGGAGAAGAATTCCCCTCGCCACAGGGGACCAGCTCAGTGGCTAATCGCTAGGCTGCCCTGAAGTCTCACAAGCCATTGCTTCCAACTGAATTTTGTCTCCACATTCGAAAACACTGATACTTTTGCCTAAGGCGTACATTTTCTGGTGGGCCAGGCAGGGCGAATGCTGCTTCAACTTTTGCCCGTATTCGGGGCATTTATAGGGCTTCTCCTCAACATGAATGATCGGGGGGTGAATCAGTTTTGGCTGCTCAGGGAGGCTCCTGCCACAATCTGCATTTTTATACATCCGTTCCCCCATGTGGATTCTCTGATGAGAAGCAAGGTAAGTGCTCCGGCTAAAGCTATTTCCACACTCGGTGCATTTATGGGGTTTCTCCCCCGTATGAATCCTCTGGTGGGAATTCAGGATTGCCTTCTGACTGAAGCTCTTGCCACATTCCATGCAGATGTACGGCTTCTCCCCAGTGTGGATCCTCCGATGCTTGATCAGCGTGGACAAGTCACAGAAGCTCTTTCCGCAATACGAACAGCTGTACGGCTTCTCCCCCGTGTGGATCCTTTGATGCGAGGCAAGGAGGTCGCTGCGGATAAAGCTCTTCCCGCACTCCAGGCATTTGTACGGTTTCTCCCCCGTATGGATTCTCAGGTGTATCTTCAGGCTCGACTTATAACTGAAGAATTTCCCACAGACGTTGCACTTATATTTTCTCTTTTCATTTGATTTCTCTTCGGGGATGGAAGCGTTATGGAATCCCACTGCCTGAGAAGCAATGTTTTTCTTACACTTATCCGTGAGATAGTTTCTCCTGGTTCTTCTTAGCGGACGCATCTCTTCCAGCTTTTGCGGCTCGGCCCTTTCGGATGCAACCTTGGGGACTTCCCTGCTATTCTCACTCTGCCGGACGTCACCTGCTAAAATAAAGAGAGGTCTGAAGAGGGCAAAAGGGAGAAACCAATCCTCTAAAGCAGGATTGTTTTTTTCAAAAAGGAGATTTATTTTAAAAAAAATAAACTCAGGAAAGACAGCAGTCTGCAAGGTTTTATTTTGCTAATCTGCTGGAAGAAAAAAAAGTCAATTTCTATAGCCAAGGTGTAAATGTAATCTGCTAGCAATTCCTTGGTTGATTTTTAAAAAGTGGCTTCTAAAGAATTCACTCCTCTGCACCAGAGGAAGGGTGGCCACAAGGAGGGAATCCAATCTGTGCATGTTCACCTGCTTAAAATTCCTAGCCACCATAGACAAGTAGGATGTTGTTTTATTTCTGTAATTTACAGGGCTTAAAGGCTGCTGTAATCAGAAACTGACTCTGAGTGGTGCACAATGCCCCCTCCATAATTCAGGATAAAAGAAAGATAAAATTCCCCATATAAATCCCAAGAACCCATATACCATCATCAGCCCAACTGCAATTAAAACAGCTTCCATCATTGGTGAGACAACCATATAATTCGACCCGCCTGACCTGTTAGAATAACCCAGCCTGTCTAGACTTGTTGGAATAACCCAGCCTGTACACGTCCCATAGTGCTCAAGGAGAACTCAGCTAAGTGCCTTTAATTTCAACAGGACTATTGAATAGCAACAGAACGTTATCCATGTACCCGGAAAATGGTATATATTTTAAGAGGTATTAAGTCCTCACCAATCCTCCCCAGCAAAACCTAGCAACTGGGAGACTGACTATTGAATACAGGTGGTCCTTGTTTAGTGACCGCAATTGGGACTGGCAACTTGGTCATTAAGCAAAGCAGCTAAGTGAAAATCAGGTGACTGTGACTGTGCTCATGATTTTACATCAGCTTTCTTTTGTGTTACAGCACCAGAAGGATACAACCCCAAACAGCCAAGGGAGCCCAAATGGCAGGGAAGATTTTTGGAACTTGATTCATGAGGATGCCTGTCAGAATCCTCGCGATCGCTCCCTCACGCGGCTGCTTGATTGCTGCAGTTCTGCCATTCCAGCAGATGGGGGGGGGAGGGGGGGGAGGTTGGAGCGAGGACTGCCTGACGCCAATGGGCCATTCCCGGATCATCATGAACGATTAAGGACCTAGCAATGGGGGTGGGGGGGACCTGAGAGCCTCAGCAACCTGAGCTGAATGGATGGATGATCGAGGGGGAGCGGGGAAGCGAGAGGACTTTCAATCTGGGGTTTGGCTAACGGGAAATTTAGTTCCAGCTATTTATTTTTGTGTTAGCCTGTATACTACTGTTCTCTCAATAAATTTACTTATCTTTGAACCTGTGTTGGTATCGAGGACAGTCGCTTTTATTGAGGACTGAGTATAACGGTCCTGGCAACGCCGGGCAAAAGGGCAAATCTTATAGCCCTTTTTCTCTACTCCCCCACCTTTTGGAATGCTTACCCCATCGCTGGGATAATGTGATGGAAGGCATGAGCGGGGAAGGTTCTGGAATGGAGCTTCAAGGTTGCCAGGAGGCGGGAGAGACATTCCAGGGGAAACACCTCCTCAGTCCCCAGCCGGAGGGTGGGAAAGCCAAGAGAAGGAGACTGGCCCCTCCCTGGAGCCTCATGGTTATAGTAACCGTTGTGGTGTAGATTTAGTCTGGCGAGATTCTGTCTATTAGGTGTCAGCTAATAAAGGAGCTAAACTGTTCCGGACTGTCTCGCTGTTGTTCTTGGGCTGAACCTGACAGATAATTAGCAAGAAGGGAATTGACGTTTGTATTTACATTCACTGGAGAGGAAGGGATTATAAGAGAGTAAGCAGGCGCACAGTGGGGAATCCACATGGAAAGGAATGCAGCTGTTTGCCTAGCAAACTGTGTGGGAGGCAAAATAAAGCCTTTGGTGTGAAACTGATTAAGGAGTTGTCAGTTTCAGGCAGCAGCTGCCAGCCCACTAATTGAGGTGCAGAGCTGAGCTTGTTAACCTGAGGTTGGCATGTTTTAGAGATGTGCTGCCCTGCAGAGGAAAGCAACACAGAAGGAGATGCTTGTCTCCGCTCTGGAAAAAAAAAAAAAGTCAGGCACAGGACAAGTAATGTACTGACTGTGATGGTGAACAAATGGCCGAGAGAGAGACGCTGGGAAGGTCGTAAATGTGGGCATTGGTTGCAAAGTTCTACTTCTGCTATGGTCCCTGGGCTGTGCAATCTTCTTCCCCCTGAGGCGAGGTTGGCCTCATCATTGCTGGGCTTCCGGAGATCCCTTAAGACTTGGTTATGCCAGCAGGCCTGGGGACCCCAGGGATGGGGGAATTAGCGAGGGGGCTCCCTTCTTTTTAACATCCGTTTATTCTGTTTTATTTTGCTTTTTATGTTTTTAATGAATTGATGGATTATTTTTAGCTTTGTTGTACACCGCCCAGTGTCGCCTGTGGCGAGATGGGCGGCTATATAAATTGGCTCAACAAATAAATAAAGAAATAAAGTTACTTTTTCATCGCCATCCTGACTACAAATGCTAAACAAGGACTACCTGTGTGGAGAATTCTGGGGGAACCGAGCTGAGCTCAGAAGAAAAGAAAGAAGAGAAAAGATAAAAAAGAAAAGATGGACTGATGAAGCACAGCCAAAGCCAAAATGTTTTAAGCATCCTTCCCCAACCAGATACCCTGGAATACAACCCTCAAACTTCTGCAGCCTTTGCCCATGCAGGCTAGGAACTCAGAGGCCAGGTTTACCCAACACGCTTAATGGG